ATCATCATTATTATTATTGTTATTATTCCTGTCTTGAAAGCATTATTTCCTGTTTAATTGTGCAGTCCTTACTTTGTAAGTTGTTGTTGTACTCCAGAAACTTGATTTTTGTGGCTGCCACAAACTAGGTTGCAATTGGTTGAGACTCGATGAGATATTCATTGAAAAACTATCCAAAATGTGCTGCAGGATGTCCCGCAAAAACAATGTTTTTGCAGTTTCATAAATCTTTCCCATGTTTTTTCTGATAGAACCCATTAAGAAATGGTGTTTATAACCCAGGAACAAAAACTGTGTTACATAGTGTAATAGCAAGGGGTGTACTTCAACGCCACATCTACGCTGCCATTGTAATATAGAGTGAATTGCATTTTCTGGTCAGTGTAGACTCATAGTGCTTTGAACTGGATTATATGGCCATATAGTGCAGTTCAACCCCCTGTTGGTGCGGGTTAAATTGCTGAGCTGCTGAACTTGCTGACCGAAAGGTTAGCGGTTCGAATCTGCCAGTGTAGACTCATTTTTTATGCTTTTACAGATTCAACTTGAATTGTTTTTAATGTTCATGTTTACTCATAATGCTTTGAGCTGGATTATATGGTCATATAGTGCAGTTCATCCCCCTGGTGGCACAGTGAGTTAAACTGCTGAGCTGCTGAACTTGCTGACCAAAAGATCGGCGGTTCAAATTTTCCAATATATTCATTTCTATGCTTTTATAGTTTCAACTTGGATTGTTTTTAATGCTCTATGATATTTAATACTGTTTTGATATTTGTATATTTCTATTGGAAGTTAACGTCACAGTGCTCAAGTCTGCAATTCTCAATAAGGAACAGCTAGTTAGCTTTAGGCTAGGCCTGGCATAGGTGCTCCCTGACAAGGGGCAGTGTGTCAAACTGCTGAGCTGCTGAACTTGCTGACCGAAAGGTTAGCGGTTCAAATCGGGGGAATGGGGTGAGCTCCTATCTTCTGCTAACCTAGCAGTTTGAAAACATGCAAATGTTACATCCCAAATAGATTACTGCAACACACTCTACGTGGGGTTGCCTTTGAAGACTGTTCGGAAACTTCAACTAGTCCAATGGGCAGCAGCCAGACTACTCATGGGAGCGTCATATAGGGAGCGTACCACTTTTCTGCTATGTCAGCTCCACAGGCTGCCGATTCAGTTCCGAGCACAATTCAAAGTGCTGGTTTTGACCTATAAAACCCTATACAGTTCTGTCCCAGCATACCTGTCTGAACGTATCTCCTTCTACGTCTCACCTAGGAGTTTAAGATCTTCGGGAGGGGCCCTGCTCTTGGCCCTGCCTCTGTCACAAACACGGTTGGCAGGGATGAGGGACAGGGCCTTCTTGGTAGTGGCCCCCCACCTGTGGAATTCACTCCCTGGGAAAATTAGATCATCTTCATCCCTCCTCACTTTAGAAGGAAATTAAAAATGTGGATGTGGGACCAGGCATTCGGGTAATATATGCAGACTTTGACGATGACAATGAAGACAATTGCTATGGTAACAGATTACCGTCAAGTTTAATGGACTCTATTGAACTCGGCTGGACAATGACCACCAGACAGGTGTTTCTGTTTAGTAGATTTTATTGTATTGACGTAATGGTTTTGATTATTCATAATTAATTGATTTTGATATGCATTTTATTGTGTTTACTTGTAGGCATCAAATGTGTGCTGGCTGGAAGCCGCCCTGAATCCCCCCCAGGGGGTTGAGAAGGGTGGGGTAAAAATGTCTGAAATAAATAAATAAATAGATACTGTTCTGGCGGGAAGGTAACAGTGCTCCATGCTGTCATGCTGGCCACATGACCTTGGAGATGTCTATGGACAACGCTGGCTCTTTGGCTTAGAAATGGAGATAAGCACCACCCCCCAGAGTCAGACGCAACTAGACTTAATGTCAAGGGAAACCTTTAAGGTGCAGTTCAATTTGCATTATAATAGCAGTATAGATGTGGCCCACACCTTCTCTGGAGGCGCACATTCCCCTCGCCACTCTTGCAATGTCATTATTCTGTAATGACGTACTCAGCACTGCTGCCATTTTGTTTTATGTTTTACAGCAATGGAGAGCGAAACGAACAGAACTCTGTGAACGGGAAAAGAAAACGTCACCTCGGCCAGCAGTCTTCCCTTGATTTGCCCCCGAGGAAAAAGCCCAAAAAATCTCACAAGAAGAAGCAGAAAAAGAAGTCCCACAAAAAGCAGAAGAAGAAGAAGCGGAGACGGGAGCAGCCGAGCACGACGCCGGAGTCTTCCTCGGAGTCTGGACCTTCGGAAGGGGAGGGTGGTGCACAAAAACGGGGCCGTCACAAAAGGACCAAGAAGGCCTCGGCCCAGGCTCCGGGCTCTTTCTCAGGACAAGCGGAGAACGACTCTGGCAAAGCCAGCAGCAGCAGCAGCAACCCCTCCAGCAGCTCAGAGGACAGTGGAATGGAGGAGAAGCAGAAGCAGCGGAAAAAGAAAAAGAGGCGGAAACACCACTCTTCTGTGTCAGAAAGAGGCAGGGAACGGGTGCAGGAGAAGCGCAGCAAGAGGAAGAACTGGAAAGTGGCAGCGGATGAAAATTCAGAGGACAGTTCTGATGAGGACTAGCAGGGACTATGCTGAGAGAATAGGCTTTACCCTAAATTTGCTTTCCTCTTGGAAACAGTATGGGTTTGCATTACAGTCCCATTTGGGTTTCACAAACCTTGGAAACTTGCAGGGGACACATTTCACGGGGATCGGAAAGCAAACCAGGACTGCGATGTTCCCACTCAGGGCCCATTTTTTCCCACCCCACGGCATGGTCTGTTCTGCCACAAGAGGAACCCTTATACGGTAAAGTTATGAACATGGTGCAAAAGGGAACATGGAAAACTTGGGGTTAACGAAGTCCCCAAATCTATTTTTTACTGTTCAGTAGGTACAATCTAATTGCAATAAATAATGAAGAAGCAATTGACTGGGTCTCTCCAGAAAGTGGAGGTATTTATTCCCAGACTGTCTTGGTCGCAGACACTTCTCATTTGAGCGAGTATTTCATTCTTGGTTCACATTTGAGAAAATTCTCTTAGGTCCTTCCATCATAAGACAAAATTTACTCCTGCAGTGGTGCCTTCGAAGGAGTAATCCAAAAAGGCCACTGGCTTTGAGGCTGAACTTTACGTACT